GGACCCAATATGAGCCATGAAGGGGAAATCGTGGGCGGGGGGTGTCTCATGGGGAGGGAGCGTGAATACCAGGGGGAGGGGGAGTCATGGAGGGGGCTCATAGACACGAGGGAATAGAGGTGAAATCTCTGGCGGCTTCAAACAGGGGGGGTCTTGGGAACGTGGGGGAGGGAGACTCATGAGGCTGGGGGAGCACAATTGGGGGTGGGGGAGCCATGCACACATGGGGGGGGGCTCAGCGCTTCCCCCCCAGCTAACCCCGCTCTCCGTTCCCCCCCCCAGGAGCGGCTGGACCATGCTGATCTCGGCCTATTGGCACGGCCTGCACCCCGGTTACTACCTCAGCTTCCTGACCATCCCGCTGTGCCTGGCGGCCGAGGGGGCGATGGAGGCCGGGCTGCGGGGGCGCCGGGGGGCCGCGCCGGAGTCCGACCGCTCCTGGGGCGCCTGGGTGCACTGGTTCCTCAAGATGCGGGCGTACGACTACATGTGCATGGGCTTCGTGCTGCTGGAGCTGGGCGCCACCCTGCAGTACTGGCGCTCCGTCTACTTCTGCGTCCACCTGGGCGCCCTGGCCCTGCTGCTCCTGGGCCGCGCCCTGCCCCGGCCTGCCCCCCGGGTCCCCTCCGCCCCCGAGGGGCCGCACCGCGAGTGAGGGGCCGGGGGAGCCCCCACCTCTCCTTTTGGCTGGCTGGGAGGCGGAGGGGGAATGTGCCCCACACTTCCTTTTGGGGGGGGGAGAGACACTGATCCACTACTATGCTTCCCCCAAGGGTTCTGGCAGGCCTGCCCCTCCCCCACTCCTGGGGGGGGGTAGGAGCCCTTCCCCCACATAGGCTGGAGATTTTCCCGCCTCCCCCTCCGGCAAGACCCCCACATAAGAGGGTGTTTTCTACCCCTCCCCCCGGCCGATGCTACACTGGCCTTAGATGAGGGGGTCTCAAACTGGGGGTCGGGACCCCTCAGGGGGTCGTGAGATTATTACATGCGGGGGGGGGGGTGTTGCGAGCTGTCAGCCTCCCCCCCAAACCCGGCTTTGCCTCCAGCATTTATAATAGTGTTCAATATTTAAAACAGTGTTTTTAATGTGTGGGGGGGGGTCGCACGTGGAGGCTTGCGGTGTGAAAGGGGTCACTAGTACAAAAGTGTGAGAAGCACTGCCTTAAAGGGACCAGCCTCCAAATAGGGGGTGGGGGGGGAAGAGAGTTCCCCCCCCCATTTTAAGCCAGGATTCCCACCCACCCCCATCTGATGTGAAACAAGTTGGCACGTTCTCAGGCAGAGCCTGAAGGGACCACAAAACTCCCCACCCCCAACCAGCTTGCTGGGGGGGGGGTCCCCCAGCATCGGCAGCTGGTCTGTGCTTAGCTGGGGGGTGGGGGGAGTTGGGGTGCGGGGGGGGGGGTTGGCAGAATCCCGCTCGGAGGTCTCTGTTCCTTTCCTGTGCTATTAACCACTGGGGGGGGGTGGTGATGCGGGGGCTCGGGGGAGGTGGGGAGAGGGGAGTGGAAGGCGCTGAAGGGGGGCAGGCTGGGGGGGCAGGAGGGCTCAGGGCGGGGGGGGGTCTCCGTGTACCGCCCCCCCCGGTTGTACTTGCCATGACGCGGGGGCGGCAGCTGAAGCAAAT